TATTCTGTTTCCACAACTTTTAATACACTTATCTAATTAGAATGTTTCAAAAAATTTTAACAGATATTATGATGAAAATAGAGTAAATACTAATATCTTAATGTTAATGTCTAAAATTATCAATCTTTGATTACTTCATCATAAATTTTAGATAAGATGATTAAAAATTCATTTCATCACTAATCAATTTTATAGCATATATATCATTTCAAATTTAACAAATACTTATTATTATGGAATTAATTTATACAAATGTTAAAGATTTATTATTTTATTTTGTCCATTTGATAAAATTGTATCCAATACTGACTTCAATTATAATTATATCATTAGATGTAAAAGGGAATGATAATTATTTATCATTTATATCTTTGTTGTGGTGAGAGTAGGCTTTGCCATTTGCATGTATTAAATACGATCTATTCTTCGTTTAACTTTATACTCGCACCCAAACCCTATATTTTAATTAATCTTTGTTATGATATCTCTAAATCCAATTCCAAGAGCAGAACATGATCCACTACATAATTGGAATGCAAAAATTATTCTCCCATTTTTTGGAATTATTTATTCACAAAAACTATAACAACAACCACCTTCAAAAGTTTTTCCCCTTTCTGTTAGTTAGCAGATTACACCCTTATAAGAATTTGAAAATAATAATGCTTTTGAGTATTATTATGCCTACTATTAGATTAATTAAAGGACTACAATACTTTTTCTAACTCTAATTATTCTTCCTTAATTTAATCAATTTAACTTTTTAATCCTTGAAATTCATTTTCCTTTTTATAGAATTTTCTATTTTATGCTTCAATTTCATTGTTCTCTATGCAATTTATTGAGTTTTAATACTGTGTGATTCTATTTTCAATATTTCTTCCTTGTGTTATTTTTCAAATATAAAACCTCCTATTCTCTTTAATCCAATAATTCTTTGATATTTTAGTTTTTTTTTTTGTTGATTATAATTTGACAGTTAACTCATCAATTTCATTTTAATCTTTAAAATAAAATTAAATATACTCTAATCTTATTTTTACTGTAATACTATTTAATATTCCTACTGGTTTTTATCTAATTGCTAGGTCATTTGGTTTAGTAGATTAATTTCTAATGAATGATTTTAAAATTACTTTCAATTTCTAAATTATTATACATTTCAGTCAATTTTATTAAATCTGCTTCCAATTTTTTTAAATCGCAATATTTCTTGAACTATTTACTTTTATTATCAAAAGTATTTTTGTAAGTATTCAATATTGTTGATAGATTCTAATATTAGTTATTAACCTAATCTTTAGTTTTATTTAGAATTTATTATTAAATTTATTCAATTTTATTTGAATGCTACTAAAATAAAGAGATAGTTTAATTAAATGAGCGTATTTAACATTAATATTTTTTGCCTAATCAAATTAATTCTTATGAATTAGTTATCTTAATTCTATTAATAAATTGTTCTTCCTCTAAAGCTTATAATGAAATCCTCCCTATTTAATTAAAGTTTTTTCTTTATGATAGAGAAGAATTATTCTTAGATTAATTTATCACTAATCTCATTTAATTTCTAATTATAATTTTTTCTCATCTGAGCAATTTAATTAGATAAATCATATCGTTTACATCTAATTTCCTTTTAATACTATTATAATCTATCTTCAGATTATAAATTGTAGTCAATCCATTATTTATTGACATCCTCTATTGTTTAATATTTAATTTATGGATTATCAGAGATGCAATTCACACAAACAAATCTATCTTCAATTTTCTTTTTTTAGGAATCCATATCAATCATAATAATTTCCTTTTTATGACTCACGCAAACTCTACTTACACTAGGTGTTCTCTATTATGTAGTGATTAAAATTACCGATTCAGTATTTGTGTATAATAATGGTTATAATTCAATAAAATTATTATCCATTAAATCTTGGATTATTTATTTTGTATTCTTGAGCGCATCTTAAACCTAAAATATTCAGCATTATTAAATAGTAATTCAAATTCTTTTATTAATTCATCGATAAAAGCTTTGTCTTCTATTAATTTATTTGATTTCTTTATGTATGAAGAATAAAATTTTGATAATCATTTTATATCTTCAAAATAGTTGAAACTATATTAAATTTCTTAGTTTTCCTTTTAGATAGGAAATATATATTATTATAATTACTTATACAACTCTTCTAGAGAATCATCCATCGATCTTTTAAAATCCATTATTTAATCTAAAATAATCTTATAATAGTTTAGCCTTGCTTAATTTTCTTTGGTCCTTATTTCTTATTATTAAGTCTTCATTTATGATATACTTTCTTTTGATTACTCAATAGTTGTTGTGACTTTATTATTATTCAATTTATCAACTAAACATTTACCACAAAAGAACTTAATCTATGATTTATCTTTCATCTCCAAATCAACAGCAATAAACTCCAAATTGTGAGTTTTACATATTGTCTCATAGAGATCTTAACTTAATTTTATTGTTAAATATTCATATTTTTAAATATATTAATATCTCTAAGTATGATATTTTTTAATAAAGATTATTAATATAAAACACTTCAATATGAACTTTATAATTAAAATATAACCCAATCCCTTTCAAAATTGAAATCTATTCATTCGAATAACAATTGACCTTGATAATAAGTGCATTGGTTGCTTGAGATAGAAAATATTAGCCTCAGAAGTATCTAAGCTTTAAAGTAACTATTAGCTAAATTAGACCCATATAATGATCAACAAATACGTGAATTAGTATTGATGACCTTATGACTAACACACAGTGAAAGTGTTGAGGCATTCTAATAAACCAAGATTAGACCTAATGGGTATGCAATGACTCTTTGCATTTAAATCTGAACAACAATTAAACTAGTAAGAAAAGTAGCAACAAGAATATCTCTCGAAACAAGAAGTACTTTAAGTAAAAACGCATAATTTAATATTAAGTCCTTTGTTTTGTTTCTTAAGTGCCATAATAGCATCCTTCTGCTTAATCGCAATTATATTATAAAATGCAATTAATCTTTACATTATTGCTTATAAGTTTTGGTAATGGTCATTTAAGCGGGAGTAACTTTCTAAAGATGGTTATAATTTTGAAACTGATAATATACACTAAAGCCATTTTAATGTGACAACCCAAACCTCAATCTTATCACATGTGTATGTGAAAAGTTAAAAGATGCTCTACATGAATAGAGGCAATTATTTCATACTAAGAATTGATGAATTCAATCAGAAACGCTGAAGAATTTCTTAAACATGTACAACAGTTCTGCAAAGCCTTGATTGCATAAGGGTTAATTATCTGAATATAATGCCTGCAGTAATTGAAGTATTCATCGCTCAATCGTTAAAATAGCTTGCCTGAGTTAGGTTTAACGTAGAAGCATACACTTGATACAGAACTTCAATTTAGATGAAATTCATCAAGGTCAGTAATAGTGATTTCTAGTCTAAATACATAGGTTCGAAGGATGTTGATTGAGTTGTGAACCCCAAGCTTCATATTTATGAGACAAGAAGATACCAATTACAATTTGAGATCGAAATTATTTTTCAAATGCACCATAATAATTTTGCATCAAGTTAATAATAACAAAGTGGGATAAATAAGTATTTCAGGCATCAAGTGTGATTATGCAAACCTGCAATAAATGGTACGCTTTTTCCTTGGAAATAGATATTTGAATAGAAAGTAGATTCACTTTATATTTAGTTTATAACTAAAACTAAATTTCAAAAATTCATCAAATTTAATATACTTGAATAAAGATGTCATGTTTGAAGAATATATGTGAAAATAGTATTTCATTAGGCTAGGAGTGCATCAAAAATTAAAGCACAAATTTTTAGTACAGAATGTTTCTTTTTTATTGTAAATACAGCAACCAAATCGCTTATTGAAGTGATAATAATTTGATAAAGATGGGATATTGCTATGTTGTGGCATTTTTGAATTGTTTACAGAAATTAAATAGCAGAATTTATTGATAGTAATGAGCAGGCTAAAAATTGAATATGTGTTGAGAATAACTTAGTTCTAATCTACAATTTTATGTTTATATCACTTAATAGCAGCGATGATTGCATTTTTCACAACGATTGCTTCGTAGCTAAACCAAAGATATAATAATATATTGCAAACAATGAATTATGGTTAACAACTACGACTTGAATTAACTGAAGGCGATCAAGAAGTCCTATAGCCAGAAATTACAAAAAATTAATGTTGTAATATTGTGTAAGAAACATTTAAATCTCAAAAATACAAATAGTATGGATGTGCTATTACATTCAGTAAAGATAAGTGTTTCATCAGATGCGGCATTAGGATAAAAAGTAGATGGTATAAGTTGTGTATCTTTGAAAATATAATTACTTCTATTATTGAATTTTACTGCAGAAGGTGAAGCTAGTAAAAATTTCACTACAGGTAAGAATGTCTCCAATAATATTGATATTATAACAAGGAGAAAGTAAGAACAGTCCACAGCTCATGTTAAACAATTTTGAAAAAAGAAAAAAGAACTGCTGTTTGAGTAGAGTTAATCTAGACTGAATTAGGAAAATATCATAGCGTGGGTGTCTTTTAGTTCCAGAAGATGTAAATGTGTCATTAATAGCATTATTGTAAGAAAGCATCCAACAATCTTTATCTTATTAACAACCCTACATCTCTTGTTACCTGATAAATCATTTAAAGGCACTGGCAGAGAAATATTATGCAACAAATTTATAAGTATATAAACAGAGTAGCAATCTAAGGGACACAACTAAGGAGAAATTTAGTAGTCTTAGCATCAGCTTATTTTTATACAGCTAAGAGTATGCGCGAGAGAGCTGATACAATTTTTCCAAAATCCCTCTCAAAAATTTTAGCTCGCTAAGCCAATGAAATATAAGGGTAGAGGAAATGTCAGTGTTAAATAGCTTGTTTTGATTTGCATATAATTTAAATAAATCCCAACAAATCACCAGCTTAATTGCTATGGCCAAATAATTTTGTTCAGAGATGTCCAACAAAATTATATATGTGATACACAGAATTATTTCGTGCAAAAATATTTTCTTGATTGAAGTTATTATTGAGCAAGCCATCTTTACAACACTCAAAAAATTAAATATATACAAAAGGAGCAGTCTGGCTTTAAAATAATACTCTGAATCATAGCATCACCTTAAATAAAGTTCTTGTCACAACACATACTTTAAGAAGGAGTAGCAGGATTTTTGGATGTGTTATGAAATATCACATCTACAAGTCACAGAGTTATTGTAAATGCACTGAGATCTAGTTTAGCATACTTATTACCAAAAAAAATTATCAAGTTTAGTTTTATTTAGAACTATTCCATACTTAAATAATGCTTTTATTTTCATGCACAATTGATTGTTCCATTTTCATCATGTAGTTTTATTTGGAGAACTCAAGCCTTGCAATTTATACAGCCTTTACTCATTTACATTCTGAGAGTCTTTACACTTGTTTCAAGTTTTACTATGATTATCATAATATTGTTAATTCACCTTATTAATTCAATTTATATTGCAATAGTTGCACTTATAATACTGCATCTTTCTTATAAAATTTTATTGACATATATTCCAAATAGCAATCTTACTTGCATTTTTTGGTGCATGTAGAGTATTCTTAGCTGGAATTTTGTACATAATGCTCAACTTTAATACAGAAAATAATGACATTTTTTGAAAAATACATGCTAGCATTGTGTCTACATAATTTAAATACGTTTAGATCGTGGTATAAGATTTTTTTCTTGAGCACAACCCTTTAGATTAATTTTAGGATTAATTACATGCTTTAACTATTACATCCTTGATAAGCATGTTTTTCTTTTTAAAAGCAAATGCGATTAAACTGCTAATCTATAAAAAAGCAAAATACAAATTATGTAACATTTTTATTAATTCGATAAAGCATATAGCATATTCTACAATGACTTTGGTTTTACATAATGCCAACACTGCCCTACTAGATGCTTCCTTAATAATATTTTTTGTGGATAGCGAACAGCCATTTCAAATATGTGAAAATGCTAATGACATATGTAAGGTTTATTTTGATGCATTCAACAAATTCTAAAGTAATTATTTGGGCAGTCTGTGAAAACTCTTTACCTTTCAAGATTTTGTAACCCTTTGTCTTTTATGTAAACAAATGGATGCTTTTCCTATTCCACTGCTTTGGAATATTTTTTATGAACCTGCCAATAAATTTGTTTTTATTGAGTAAAATGTAGTTAGTATTCATATTAATGTGACTTAGATGTAAAATTCTTGCTTTTAATAACTATTTTCATCATGGTTGTTCCAAACAGAAAAGCTTCTTACATTTGATCAACTCAATGTGTTAGTAATTTACTTCGTGTTGAACTACATACTCCGCTTGTTCCAATATATGTGTGCATGAGCGACCTGATTTATTCTTGATTTATTAAAATGTTACTTTTTATATTGTAATTCAAGTTTCATCATTTATAAAACCTCTTAATCAATAGTTACTACTTGTTAAACTTGCCCTTCATACTATGTAAAACTCTTTTGTGTTTTTGTATAAGTATGCTTAATCTTTTAAGTGATTCTATCATATAATTAAAAAATGTAAATTAACAATTTTTTTTGTTGTGATGTCATAATTGGCGTGTCTTGAGGAAGCACTTCCTGAGCCTACCCTGCTATCTGAGGAACTGAGGCGGGCCCAGACTGGACACGACGGCACTAAGAGAGGCAAAAAAAAGGGGTAAGTAGTGAGATTACATATTTAATTAAAATTTTATTTCAAATTGTGCTACTGTTGTAAAATGCGAACACAATATGTTTACTGTGCTTCATGAGCTCTAATAAAGCTGTAACGCACAGACATACTAGAATTTCATTTCCCTTGTCTTTATAATGTCTGATCTTTTGAAATAGCATATTCTAATTGCAAATAATATTGTTGGGTCTGAAAACAAAAATAGATTAACTCCTTTACTCAGAAATTGATTATTTTTAGTTTTCAGTATTGTTTTTTAAAAGGAATTTCCTATAGAAACGAATGTTCAAAGCAAATCAATTTTTGTCACTTTAAAAAGAATTTATTATATCAACAAGTAAGCTAGCACTCTGAAATTTGATTTCAAGGTGATGTATATGATACGAAATAGAAAAAGGCATTCTTTTAATAAATTGGAATTCATTAAAATTCACGACCTCATAGATTATATATTTAGGATTATAGATTATAAATAAGGACATAGACTAATATAATCTCAAGAAGATAAAATACTCAAGTTTAAAGCTAATCAGAATTTAACACTCACTCATTTTACAAATTATTTTACTCTGTCAAAAGTGGATATGTACCCAATGAATAACTAGTTTGATGAAATTATTAT